CAACTTTCCCTTCCTACCAAACACACCCATAGTCTTAACTATTTTCCCGCTATTCCATCATTAATTTCATGATTTAATTCCTAAAATCTACATTTATATATATATATATATATATATATATATATAAAAGGAGTAAAATTTCAGGTCCGTTTCAGTTGAGGTTAATGTGTATAATGTAAAGGAGGTCACATATTTTATGTAGTTAACTTAGCTAATTAATAGGCACGTTAAAAAGATTTTTATACAATTTGAATTGAAAGTGTCTAATATGAACAAATTAACATGTGTAGGATGACAATGAGGCGGGGCGGATGTGGGGCAGAGTGGGTTTAAGGCTATGCAGGGTGGGGCAGGGTGGATTAAAGCGGGTTTTTAAAAAAAATTAATGTGGGGCGGGGTAGGTTGCGAGTATATGTGATTTTATGTGGGTTCAAAGTTAATTTAAATTAATTTCTTTAAAGCTACTAAAATGACCAAGATAGTAAATGAAAATAGTTCAATAATAAAATAATACAATTTCTTACATGTTTCTTAATTGACCTCTTAAAATTAATTTTTTAAGTCACTATCCTATTGAATTAATACAACTTAATGAAAAAAAAAATTATTTGTATGAAATTTAATTTTAGTATCAAACTTAACTAGAAAAAGAAAATATTATAAAAATTATGTGGGGCGGGTTCATGCAGAGCGGATCTATGCGAGGCGGGGTGAGGTGGGTTGAAAATGAAAAAGGTTAAAATGCAAGTCGGGTTAAAAATTTTACGGGTTAAGCTCAACTCGCCCCACCCCGCCCCGCACCGCCCCATTGTCATCCCTGAACATGTGTTCAGATACTCAATACCGTAGTTCAAATGTCTAAAAGATATTCATTGACAAATTTAAAAGATTATCAATTTATTTAATCATTTATATTCCACATAAAAAAAATACTAAGTTTAGATGAACATGCATGCTTCCTTGTAGCCACCCCACCTCAAATTAATGTCCTATATAAAGTCCTCCTTGCAAGTAACATTCTTCAAACCAACTACCATATTTCTCTCTATTGCATAGGTTATACTAAAAAACCACACAATAATTAGTTAAGTGACCAAAAAAAAGGAAGGATCAATATGTCTTGTAGAGATATTGAACCACTTATTGTTGCAAGAGTGATTGGAGAAGTAGTTGATAGTTTCAATCCAAGTGTGAAAATGAATGTGATATATAATGGAAGTCAACAAGTTTTTAATGGTCATGAACTCATGCCTCCTATCATTGCTTCTAAGCCTCGTGTGGAGATTGCTGGAGAAGACATGAGATCTGCTTATACACTCGTATGTATTTTCTCAGTTTCAATTTGTCTGTCTTACTTTTTTTTCAAGTAAGTTTTGAAAAATTTCCTTACTTTCTTAAATTTAATATCCACTAGTACTATTTTCCCAACGAAAATTTTCATTGGAAAATATTCAGTACAATTTCTAACAGATATTTTGATCGAATTTGTGAGAAGAAAAAATAGTAGTGTTTTTACATGAAAATATTAGGAAGCTTTTCAGTATTTTAGCGGAAATCTATTTCTCATCATGCGTTTTTTCAGTGAGATGATTCAATAAGTAATGTATGAAAAAGAATATATTATATTTTATAACGTAAATTTCTTATTGATTCGTATTGCCATACTGTCTTTTTTTTTTTTTTACCCTCCCTAGGAGCTCCCACCCTTTTTGCTTTCTTGGTGACTCGAACTCGCAACCTTCGGGTTGGAACTTGGAAGTGAGGGGTGTTTATCATCCGAGCAACTCCCTCTCGTCATTGCCATACTCTGACTCATTTTCAGATTATCTAATTTATTTTTTAATTAGTTCTCTTAATTGTAATTTTCTAACTACTGTGTTGTTGTCTTTCTTTTGTTTGGAAAAGATCATGACTGATCCAGATGTTCCAGGTCCTAGTGATCCTTACTTAAGGGAGCACCTCCACTGGTAATTTTATTAGTTGTTGATAAAACAGCATTGAAATGCTGACAGAAGTATTGATAACTCCCTTAAATTTGACGTGAATTATTAGTTTCATCTCCAAACTATTGGAAGTCTTAAAAACACATTTTTACTTGACTAACTGAACTTAAATACACCTTCGATCTGCCACATGACATAGCAAGTGGTCTCAAATTCCTGTAGGAGCATGAAACTCTTAATAAAAAGTCGAGAAGTGTTAAAAATATCCTAAACTTGACGTGAATTTAGGGGTGTACTTCATTCATGTTGTAAGAACATGAGTGTATTTAAGTTCAGTTAGTCAAGTAAATAAGTGTTTTTAAAACTATCAATAGTTTGAAGATGAAATTAACAATTTACGCCAAATTTTATCGTGTTTCCACTGCTTCTCTCAAAGGCTAGTCATATTTGCATGGACTTTAAATTTGGTTTTGCTTTTTCAGGATTGTGACAGATATTCCTGGTTCTACTGATGCTTCTTTTGGTAACCAAATTAACTTGACTCTTTCATTATCATTTTATTTACTTAATTATATCTTCAACAAATGATCCGACATCAAATTATACAGGAAGAGAGATAGTGAGCTACGAGAGTCCAAAACCGGTGATCGGGATTCATCGATACGTGTTCGTATTATATAAGCAAAACAGAGGAAGAGAAACAGTGAAACCACCAGTAACAAGAGATCATTTCAACACTCGAAAATTTGCAGCAGAAAATGGATTGGGTTCCCCTGTTGCTGCTGTCTACTTTAATGCCCAAAGAGAAACTGCTGCTAGAAGAAGATGAATCAACAATCCATCTACATCAACAAATAAAAATAAAAGTATGCATAATAATATACACAGAATTTTTCGTAAGTAATGTTACTCCTGACTCCTGATCATGGATCATGTTGATTCAGGGGCAGTGCTGGAACATAGTGGTGGACGATCTTCATTTCCATATGGTAATTGAAGTCAAACAGGAACAAACCAGGTATAATAACAATCAAAGTCGTAGGTGGGTATTCAAATAAAGGAGAGTACTTTGTCCTATTATTATATAATTTATAGGATAGACTAGTTTGATGTATTATTATAAAATTTAAATTTTAATAATACATGTACGATTTTCAGTACCTATATTACTAGTTCTTGAATTACTTATATTGCAATTCACGAATTATTTTACAGAGTCAAAACTAAACTCTTATATTCCCTTTATTTCAATTTATGTGATATATTTCGTTTTTCGAGAGTCAAACAATTTAAATTCGATTAAAAATTTGTGTATGAATTTTTTTATTTTTTTGAAATGAAATTTATATATATATATGTGGAAACTATGTAAAAAGTATATAAGTCGCAAAAAATAACAATCCAAAATGTTTATAAAATATATAATTTGTCTTTTAAAGTCTTAATTTTCTAGCAATTTCTTATTATTTTTGCAATTAATAACATCAAGTAAAAGTTTTCAACTTTCAAGTGTTCAATTCATCAATTTACGAATATTAAATTATTCTTTTATCTCCAAAAATTTGATATATTTTTTTTACTTTTATTTAGTATATTAATTCTTAAATATCTAATTATATTAATTTTGTACTTATAATTTTATTAATTTAATTTTCATAATGGATAAAATAAGGAAAGTAAGTAAAAATGTTAAAAATTTGTGTCCCAAATATAAATAGTAATAAGAAAAAAAAAATTGATTTTGATAAAGATAGTATAAGTACTATATTTTATTTTGTATGTCTCCAATACCATCTAGTAAAATAAGAGACATAGGTGTAGGTGTACATGATATGAATTATTTGAAGACCCCAAAAACTTACGCTATAAAGGAAGAACATGAAGTAGATGTAGACATAGATAATAGTAATAATGATGATGATGAAAAGATACATCCTCTAATCTCGTCATTACTCGTACTCAGTCTCAAACTCATAATCTTCCTCTACTATCTTAAAAACATGAGAAAATTAATAATTTGTGAAATTATTTTACTTAAATAGAAAGAATCGACATAGTTTAATGCAATATTTGTCTGAATAAGTATCAACATAAGATTGGGGGACGAATCAATTGATTAGACATTTGAATAATAACGACAACGGATGAAAAGAACAATTATAAGAAGGTGCGGATGTTACTAGAGTACCAATCCAAACTAGATTCAATTTGTAGACCAGTAAATGAATTGGGACCTATAATAAAATGAAAGTCCGCGAATAATTAGCAAAAATAATAGTTTTGGCTTATTTTCCTTCGCACTTGCATCTTCTGATGCTTTTATCCATTATATATAGTCAGTGTATAATCTCATGATCAGTGGTTAAGTCAGAAGTATCGTTAAAGGTGTCCAAGATTTAATATATACGTGTGAAATTATTTTTTGACTTGTACACTTTGTATAATTCTCTATATACATTGTATAATTTTTCAATGAAAGGTGTCTGTCTGACTACACTGAGCTATATGTGGCTACGCCACTACCCATGATCAAAGATATTCTTAAAAGTACTTGTCAATCAAATAATATTAAACTCTATAAACAATATGCATACTACTTACATTAGTTATTAACGAATCTTTCATGTACCGTTCTCTCACTTTTGATTGTGAATGTGCTTTAAAAATGATTATTTAACAATTAGTTATCATCGAATAGATAGTAATTATCATGTAAAAACATATTTTAGCATTTTAATATGATGAAGGCAGAAAGGATGCATCAATAACAAGGGACCATTTCAACACAAATTTTTTCGTAAGTGGTGTGACGTTATTTAATAACAAAAAGACTAGTATCATAGTCGGTGCATACTCTGCCAATTAGGTTGCACCTGCGGCGCGCTATCCATTTACTTGTCGTATTTATTTATTACTGTCTTTCATGTTACCCTTTTCAAAGGGTTTTTCTAGTTTAATGTATTGGTTGAAACTTGAAAATAATATATAAGTATTAATAATACATGTATCATTTTCAATATCCATATATTAATAAAAAAAAAAATCTTGGCTTACTTACACTGCATTTCACGAATTATTTTACTTCAAAATTTAACAAGAAACGTTAGTAAACATGGCACTATGCAAGTGGTGGAGCCAGTGGCGGACCCATGATTTTCGTTCAGGGGGTTCGAAAAATAAAAGTATACACGTGTAAATAAGCCTTTAGAAATGGAAACCTTGAATTCTTTTGGGTTTAAAACCAAACTTTTAACACATTTTTTAAAGTAAAAAAAAAAAACTACAAAAAAAGAACTGAAAATTAAAAAAAAAAAACTAAAAAAGACTGAAACTGAAAAAGAAAAAAATAAAGTGCTATCACTAGGATTCGATCCAGTGATGTACAGCTTAATTTCAGGGGTACTTGCCACTGCGCCATCAGTTTCTCTTTGTTATTGAGGGGGTTCAAAATATATATATCTACAGAAATACACAAAATTTACCTTGTATATACCATGTAATTTTTTGCCGAGGGGGTTCGGGTGAACCCCTGAATACCACGTGGGTCCTCCCCTGGGTGGAGCTATAGTGCTTCAAGGTCAATACATCAAAAGAGATATTTAGTAGTAATAAATTTTCTGGCAGTATTTATTGTCGCAAATATATTTAACTACAATTGAGTTAATATTATATTGAAAGTCGTTAAAGTCTATAGTAGGGGTATTCAAAACCGAATCATAATCGATAAGTCAATTACAAATTGGCTTATTGGTATTGGGTTATCGAATAAACAGTTGGAGAACGGATTAAAATTTTATAATTAACAGTTTATTGGTGTACGTGGGGGTGGATTTTTCAAGTTCCTTATCGGGTAAATCATTAACCCGTTTAGAGTTACCGTACTTACATTTCTATTCTATGTATATTAGGCTCATTTAATATTTTATCATAATATATAAGAGTAATTATATATTCTTTCTTTGTTAGTCCTAACTCCAAAAAGCTAAAGCCGTAAAGCCATGAAAACCTATTTACTTTTCAATAATTATCTAGTTTGCTTTAAAGAATAGAGAGCAAGTCAGCAAACTTAGAAAAACACTGAAGATATGTAAATGAAAAGTATGGAGCAATTTATTGGTAAATATGCTTCCAGTGGACAATGAAAATGGGATAAGCAGTTGAAAATCTAGATCAAATTATCCATTTGATGTTGTTACTGCTTCAAGTTATTTCTTTTTATAAAGTGTGTTCATCGAAAAAAAGATACCATAGAGATTAGAGGTTAGTCGTTACACCACTCGATAACCGTCCGATAATTGCTAATATGTTACCAAATCAACCGATATTTTGTAGGTTGACTAGCTCTGATAGGTCAAACCGTTTAGCAAAATTATCCGTTTGATCTGTCTTATGAACAATCCTAGTCTTTAGTACTGTCTCTGTCCAACAATAGTTGTCCACTATTGACTTGGCACAGGAAGTAAGAAGTAGTAAATCATAGGGGTAATTTTATCAAATCACCTTCTTAAATATAAGCCATCTAAAGATTGAAAAGTAAATAACATTTAATAACAAGGATAAAATTAGACACAAAATGATAAATTATTCATTGATTTTATAAATTGGACATTCCAAAATAGTATAGTGAGCAAAGTAAAAATGAACAGAGGGAGTAATATTTATATAAAGTGTTGCTTATAGATATGCACATTTATTATTGCAGCTAAAAATAATATTACGATAATTATATTATATATTATTGTTAAAGGATTGCTGCAAAATCCTTATTATAGTTGATAAGTGTTCATATGCAGTGGTGGAGCCAGAAATTTCACGAAGGGTGTCCAAAAAAAAAGGGAGGAGGGGGGAATTGTCACGCCCCGAGCCTACACCTTGGGCGGGGCCGGCACTCGAAGACCATTGCTGGCCTCAAGCGAACCCTTGGCTTGGCTTACTAACTCAGTGGAAGACTTAACTCAATTAAACAGTCTCAAATAACAACTTAAAGAATAATAAACTGGACAAAGTGGCACTTAAGTCATTAAACAATAACTGAAGGATAAAGAAAGACATCTGCACTAATAACTATCTGACTGTCTATGAAGCCTCTAAAATACTGAGATGAATGTTGGGACAAACCCCACAACATCCTAATAAATGAAAGACTGAAAGCGAATAAAAGAGTCCTCCGGAATGCAAGGAGGCTCACCACTGACTCTGAGCTGCTCAACTGGATCAACGAGGTGCTGGATGCTGATCCTGGTTACCTGCGTCTGCATCAATGGGAGTTTCTATAACCAACAACCATCACATAAGAGCTATAGTGATAATACAACGATCAACCACACGCTGCCAGAGCATCCTATACCCGGCCAAAGATATAGAATATGAACTGCCAAATGGATCCACTAGTCTAATTTGAAAAGGATTCATCTGAAAAGTATGAACCTCTTCTACCCATGCTGGCTACATGGTTCTATGGGGGTTGTGGGTTCTTTGAACGCTCCCCCAATTCGGTGCTCAATACTACTCCCAAAAATGTACTGGCTCTTATGTTTTTAAAACATATTTCCTCTGTGATTTGAAATTAGTGCTCAAAAACTTAGCTCAAGGGCTACCTTGGAAATCAAAGTTTCCCTTTCTTGCTTCATTTAGAAAGCGATTACTCTTTTGTGAAAACTAGCCCGAAGGCCCTTTGGAAATCTCAGTTTTCAATCTTGTTTAAATGTGAAAACATTTCTTTTAAACTTCTTTGGGAATACATAGTCCCCATATACTTCTTTTGAAGAAAAGAACTTCAAACCATAGCTTTACTCTTGCTTAACTTCAAAACTTAAGTCTTAAAACGACGTTAAAACATTGTTAAAGACACTTGAAAACTTAAGAAACTTTGTTTTGACTTGCTTCTTAACTTCTAGACTTGGCTCTTAACTTCTTTGACTTTGAACATAACTTCCCTTGAATTGAATTATGGATTCAAGGTTCATGATCTCATGTTTATGGATGATTTCATGATGTTTAGATGTACTTTAGAGTGTTGGAATTGACTAGGAAACATAGGTACATCACTTAGAAACTAGTACGAAAAGATGGGGGGAAGAATGGGGTGAACTGGCGTCCTTGGCGCTCTGAGAGGCGTGGGGCGCCAGGCCCCAAACTTCAGAGGACAAGTTGGGGCGCGCTGGCTGGCGCGGCGCCCCACCATTTTCCCCAAAAAGTTCTGACTTTTCTCTTTCGTTTTTCATCTCAAAACCCTCTAAACTTCTATGGTTCTTTCCCCAAACACTTAGGATCATTAGTACCCTCAATACCCAATAGATTTAACTCGAAAAACAACCCGGAAACACTAATCAAATCAACACTAGGCATTCAACAATCAACCAACAAGAATTCAACAATGTTCTTCAAGAACTTCGCTTTCTTAACATTCAAACAACTCCAATTTTGCTGAATTGAAACAAGTTTGGTGTGTGGGTGAACTAACCCAACACTATGTGATCTCACATACCTTAATAGGGATCACCCCCGACGAATTCCACTCCAAACGCTTGACATTCTTGGCGAAATCTTGGCTTCTCTCCCTTTCTTTCTTCCTTTCGCTTTTCTCCAATCCCTAAGCGTGAATTTAATTTTCTAATCTGACTAAAAATAAGTTTTTTACTCCAATAAATCCCTAAAAACGAATTAGGAAATAAATTAGAGAAAAGACTACTTTGCCCTTCCCTAAATCTGGATTGGGACTTCCTCAATCCAACAACCCAACTTCCGAAAGGCATATCTCACTCATATGATGTCGAAATCGTGCAAACTTGGTGGAGTTGGAAAGATCTCTCCAAGTTCTTTCCAATCATATCAAGAGCTGCTACTAACTCATCTTGAGCTAGGAGTTATGGCTGTTTGAAAATGGCCAAAACTCACTTTCTTAACTTGGACAAAAAAAATCAGATTTCCTTATTCTTTCCAAAAATCAATATTTTCATATTTTAAACTCTTTATAGTCGTTTCTAGTTGCGAAATGTTACATGAATTGGTGCTAGTATGAGATTCGAACACATGAGCACTTAGGGCTCTTTCAAGGCATCTAAAACTACTGGCTACAACACATTGTTCTGTCAATGGTGTCCAAAATATGTTATTTAATCACTTCGCGTATCATTTTACTTAATGATACCAATATAGTATATATATATATATATATATAATGATTTAGTATCAGTTAAGCGAAATTATCAGTCTTAATGATATCAGTACATTGTATGATATTTTTTTAGTATTAGTTAAATGAAAATTATCAGCCTTAATGATAGAGGTATGAGCTGTAATTATTTATGAGAGAACGAATAATTTAGGAATTACTTTGGATTTGAATTTGAGCTTGTAATTATTTTAAATTTTATGACTCATTAATGTAGTTTTCCCTATCTTTTACTTATGACCTCGTTTTCTCGAATAGACTGATGAATAGCACAAGGAGAAGTGTATCCTTTAATTTTTTATCTTATATAAAAAAAATAGTTTCAAATATATAAATTACTTTATGATAAATATAATCATATTTTTATTTACATTTAAAAATAGACAAAAGTCATAGAAAATTATAATGACTATACATTATGATACACTTGAAAAGTTATATATAACTTACTTATACATGAGATATACACTGACTATACATTATGATACACTCAAAAGGATGAATATAACTTACTTATACATGAGATATACACCAACTATACATTCAGATACACTCAAAAAACTGAATATAGTTTAAATGTACATGAAGTATACACTGATTATATATTATAATACACTTAAAACTGAATATAATTTAGCTATACATGAAGTATACATTGAATATTCAATTCCGACCAACTCAAAATCTCTTCTAAACAGTCTCAAATTTTAGATATAAAATCTTCTCAATATATTGAGTCTTTTGATATATAATTTAGGAAAAAAGATCTGAAATATATCCGAACTTTGACCAAAATTGCTGTAACAATACCGAACTTTGAAAATGACATTTTACCCCTTGCACTATTTAATAGTGTATTTTAAAGGTACATATGTGCCCACGTGGACATCATAAATATTGCATCATTATAAATAGTAATGTGTCCATGTGAACACATATATACCTTTAAAATACATTATTAAATAATAAATAATGCAGGGGGTAAAAGGTCCTTCATAATGTTTGGTATTGTAACAATAAATTCGGCCAAAGTTGAAGTATTTTTCAAACCCTTTCCCTATAATTTCTTCATAGTATTGATTAATTATCACTTTGTTTAACAGGATAGCACCAACTCAATTGAAAGAGTTAACAGACTAATTACAAAATCTATTGCGCAAATGATTTTAGTAGACTGAGTATCTCTCTTTAAGATACTGATATCTTGTAGACAATACGTAATGAATTGATTATTGACACTTGAACAAGGTAACCATTAAGAATAAGTATTCATCTTCATACATTGATGATCATTTTGACTTAGTTAAAAGGCGACATAGTCTTTTCTAATTGCTTTGAAGTCTGAATACCACTTAATTAGTTGAAAATTAGGGCTCTAGACATCCCTAAAACATCTTTTAGTACTTGTTATGGATATTATGAATTTCTAGTTACGTTTAAATATTATAAATTTAACCATTTGAATTGAAAAACATACAAGTCAACAAAGTCTTGTTAAATTAGTCACAAGTCTTATCGGATTGACTAACCTTATTTTGTTCACAAGTTATAACAAGTAGGCCATATATTTGACAATGAAATGGAGGAAACACAAAAAGTTGTAATCATTTCAAGTACTATTGTCAAAAGTGTCACAATAACATCAACAAAATGTCCAATTTAATCACAAATTTTTCATTGATCAATCAATCACAACTAGCTTTTGATATTCTTCACCAGAAATTGCTGCTTCCATTATATCTTCAGGATTAAAATCCCTTTCTTCCATGAACAACGTAAGCAAATTCTTCGAAAAACCACTCACAAGTCCAACTCCTTTCTGGTTTGCTTTCACTGGTGTAGCTCTTGAGTTTCTCAAATTCCAAAACACAATCTCAGGTACACAATTCTCGTAACCATTCATCTTAAATTTCCTAACAATCGTCTCATAATCCGTTTCCCATGGATTCGTCGAGGCTTGATCAAATTCCATGTCACTGAATACAAACACTTTTTTGATCATTTCATCTTCTTTTAAACTCCCATCAACAGCCACTTTTAGTATTAAATCAAACACCTTTTGAAAATCAGTATTCATTCCCCATTCCATTTTTCTCACAAACTCGACTCTGGATATCAAACTCTCCCCTTCGACTATTTGAAGCATCGGGTTGTTACTGAACGTTATAAGCTTGCCTTTCCATGGCTCTACACTCAGCTCCGAAACAAGGACTCCTAATGCCACAGACACCTCCATTGGAGTACCCGTCATACTACCAGATACATCACAAATAGCAAGACAATTTTTCAACTTCCCCTTTTTCGACAAGTCATCTACTATTCTCTTCCATTGCAATTCAGCAACTTGACCTCCATCATCTGTGTCGTTTAGTGCTCCGATTATCTGATGAGGCAGCAATGCACCAGCAGCAATCTTAGCCTTCCCCTGTTTCACTTTCTCAAGATACTCTTTAAATCTGTCCTCATCATATTTCATGAATTTTTCTTTGTATATCTTCATAGCAACTGATGCTACTCGATTGTAAGGTATCGAACCCCAATCTTTTCGCCCTATATAAACCTCTGGCAACTCTAATGCAGCACGTAAAGGAACGAGAACTTGCTTCCTCAATCGATCCCTCACTCTATACGCGTAATGTGCATCTTCAATCCCTTCGTATTCAGGACACAATTCTCTTGGAAACACCTTCTTAGCTATAGTTTCACATAAAAGTGTTCTCTTATCAAAAGACGAATCTAAAGATGGACACCATTTAGCAGCAAGACTAATCTCCGTCAATTTCTCAGCGCGTAACAAGTCAAGATCCAACTTCAAACAATTCGCGAATAAATCAGATACGCGATCATGAAAGAATTTATAATCCGGATCAACTCTGTATCTATCAAAAGCCTTTTTCGCCATTTCAATTTTCTTCGCCCCTTTATCAGTACTCGCATTTAGTCCTCCTCCAAATGGTCTCCAATCTCCGTTCTCTGGTTTTAATCTCTTCATTTTTCTACCACTCTTTTCCTTTTTCGCCCTTTTTCTCACCTCAGGTCCTTCGAGTAACCTATACAGTATCTCAGGCAAATCCTTGAAATACCCGAAATTAACTAGAGATTCTAAATTACAAGCTAGGGTTTTAGGATGAAACTGATGAAGCCACAATGCAGCAGTGTAATAATTTTCTTTATCAGATTTTCCAGTACCACGAACACCACGCAAATTGCAGATCAGTTTCAATGCTGTTAGGGGATTATGATCCCAAGCGCGGTGTAAGTACTGGATGAGTGATTTGGGAGGAGTATCATTAACAACATGGAAGAAGAAATCTAAACAAGGATTGGTAGTAGAAAGATAAGTTGCAGACATGTTTTCAGTGTAGCCCATATTTGAAGGGTTTTGGACTTGTGTTGAGTTGAAATTTGCTACCATTAGATCTATGAATGGATTGTTGGTGGTAGTGGTGGTGGTGATGGTGGAAACTGGTAGTGATTTTTGTTTGCCATGGATTTCTGGAGGGCCAACCAGAGAAGCCATTATGGAAATTATACTGTAATTGGAGTAATCACCAACCGACCAATGGGGGCGGTCAAACTCTAATATGGATATCGAAAACGAATGGAAAATCAAAAAAGAAATTGTAGTTGGAGTGGAAGGAATGGGGCAGTTAGACTCTAGTATGAATACCGAAAATGAATGGACAATCAAACAAGAAATTACAATTGGAGTGGAAGGGATGGGTGATCAGACTCTAATATGAATACCGAACGCTAGCTGGGGTGGAAGGATTGGAGGTGTGGAATTGGATTTATAGCCAATAGAGAGAAAATTACTTGAAGACCAAGTATTTGGTTTGTTTTTTTTTAATAAGAAAAGAAAATAATCCTTGGAGGCCAAGTATTTGTTTTTTTTTATATAAAAGTTTAAAGTCGGTTAGCTGGAAATTTGGGGGAGAATAAACAATCCGTGTCACTAGAATATTTGGTTAATTGATATTTCATTTTGTTTGTTTTATTTTACTTTTTAATCCATTTTAATAGAATGTTCCTTTTATTTATTAACAACTCTTTAATTTTAATTTTCTACGTACAATAATAAGACCATAAGATTAACACTTTGTTTGGACAGTTGTTAAGTATTGTTTCATAATGTATCGTATTATATTGTATTGTGTTGTATCGTATTGCATTATTTTAATGAATACAATGTTTGAATAGGTTGAATCGTTCTCCGTCGTTACATAATGTCACATATCTATGATTTGGATGATATACCTACAAGAAAGTAGAATACGAGGTAGAGATACTATGAAAAGGTAGGGTAAAAGATGAAATACAATTATTAAATAATGAATAAAGATAAAATGAGAAAAAAAATATTAAGGTAACGACGCGATCGCACCAAATCGGTCGTTCAGTGAAATTTAAGTAACAATCAAAACAAACATTGTATTTAAACTAACAATACAATACAACGGTAATAACCATCCAAACAAGGTGTAAGGGGTCGTTTGGTTGGGAACAATCTTCGGATTAATTATCTCAAGATATGTGGGATAACTTATCGCATCACTATAGTATAAATGGTGGAATAAATAATCCAATGACTACTTAATACCTCTAACCAAATGCAGGATAAAATAATTATGCATTTTATTTTAGAATTATTATACCTTATTACCTCACGCCAAACGACTCCTAGGAGTTAACAGTCAAAACCCATCTAAAGTATCCTATTTTTTTGGAATTTTATACATGAACTATCAGGTGTGTGAATTTCCTACCTAAACTATCACCAAACACACTTGAACTATCAGTTGTCTGAGTTTTATAAAATACACTTGAACTATCAATTGTTTGAGTTTTGGACCTGAAATTTCATGTAGGAAAAGTAAATAATTAATGGTTCAGGTGTGTTTTGATAAACATTTGGTGATAGTTCAGGTAAGAAACTCACAGACCTATAAAAGTAAAAAAAAAAAAAGGATATTGTAGATGTATTTTTGATACTTCACTCTAAAATCTAAAATTTGACATCTTTAATTTAATATAATAGATTCAAAAAGTTTATTTATTTTCAAATAAGCATTTTTCTAAAGACCTCTTAAAAATCAAGAAGAATTTTGGCAGTTCTAAAAGTGGTTTCTTTCATGAAGTTTTTACCAAAAGTAGCAAGGAGTTCTAAGAAAATTACAACAGTAGAAAGAAATTGAGATTCAACTGGTTCAATTGAATTTTGCTCTCATCAAGACTTTTTGTAGTGAGCTTTTGTAATAGATAACATTAAAAGGATTGAGTTGCTTTAGAAAAACAATTCATTATATTATTAAAAGTTTCAATGACTTACTAAATGAAATGTCAAATATTACACTACTTATGTAATCTTCACACATCAATTCTTACTAATACAACATACCTAACATATTCCAAAAGTGAGACCAGAGAGATAGAGTATACACAGACTTTACCTAAAGCAACACCACATTCAACAAAGTTGAAAAGCAAAAAGGTTTAATAGCAGTTAAACCACAAAATTTGAGTGTTCCTTTAGATATGAAAGTTGACAGTATTCAAGAAAATCAACAGAAATAGCGGTGTTGGAAAGGAGAAAATAAAAGTAAAATCATAACAAAACTGATATCAAGTTTTCAACTCAGTATCCAGGAGCACAACTAAACAACAAAATCCAATAGTATCTATAACGCGTACAAGTCAAAATGCCTGAAACTGCCAAGATTGTAATACAATATTCTTAAAAGATGCGTTGAGTCTTTCCCATGGTACTCTTCAAGTACAAGCATCTCACCTGTGAGCATTAAAAACAAAGAAACATTAGTACTCGTAGAAACTATAAGGTAAAGGCTCATGGATAGACGAAGTAAACTCACATTTTGCCAATTCTTCTTTAGCAAGGATACTAGAAAGTTGACACTCATCTGCACGTTCTGGAAGATTTGTTTCTCCTCCATATCCATATTACCTACGGCAACTCCCATGCAAAGAACCTTCTTCAACTGGAATTTGATAGTGGCCTTGGTCTCATTAACCTTAGACTCGAGTGATTCCTGGTGGGAAACAAGGGTAGGAAACTTGCCTGCATTTTAAAGATAATGAAAACTGGTTAAGAGATGGGCAAAAAAGGATATAAATGAACCACTTTTAAGTGAGATGGGCATTTATGATCTTTATATTACACTGCTGCAATTGTTAAAAGTCGAGGCATGATGCTTGATGAGAACCAAACAGCAAGAAAAAGTACCGACTTATCTCACAAAACTGTGACCGCTTGGATACTACATTACTTGCTGGAAAATGCTAATTAGGAAAATCCGGTGAATTAAAGAGGTGAAATTAAATCAATCAATGTCTGGCTAGCAAGTGTGGTCGGTAAGAGTGTTGGACAAGGTGATTTTGTTCATCCTTACATATGCATAGACAAGTCAGGATATTGAGTTAACAGAAGTAGTTCTCTATCAAAATCAGCTACGATACCAATATGTACAACTATAAACCAAAGACATTAGACATCAACTAAACCAGCTCTACAGCTAGTTAAAACATCAAAATAGTCTACTGCACTTGCCTGCCTTGTTCAAGCCAGGCCCCAAGAGACGGGGGATCTGCTTGATAACAGCTTCTGATGCCAAGAAAGCATGGTACTTCTTTGCGAGCTTCTTAACCAACTTTTTGTTTTTGTTAAGCTTCTTCAGGCCTTCCACGTCCATGTACTCCAAACCAATCTTTTCTGCCTGGAAAACAAAAGCAATAAAGCTTTGATCACACTTTGCACAAAATCATCTATAGCAGTAGCTTTAGCCTTTAGGTACATTAGCAACCACAAATTTTCAAATAGTTACTAGGACTAGGCAGGTCCACTCCATATAAAAATTGCTGCTACCTCAAAGCTAAGAAACTGCCAGTCAAAAAAATGAAATTGCACTATCTAATATACATTATACAAGGAACTCGTGTTATATGTCTAAAAATCAAACCTCCAAAGTCACCAAGACATGTGCAATCAAAGCTACAAACTGACAAGAAATATTTCATGAGTTCTTTGATAATAAATGTTATCATCTTATTAACACACTAAATCTTGTAAGAAGATAATTGGATCAATGTTAGTATTATCTAAGGATCCATCTCCTAAAACTTAACAGTAATCTCGAAGGGATGCTTGTGTAAATGTGAGGCAGTAGCTTCCCAAATGTAAAAGACAAGGAATACAGGAAAAATGCAGCTCAATAATAATTCATGTGACAAGTACGGGCGGATTACCTCTCCCACATGCTGAGCATCTCCAAGCATGCAAATCTTCATCTTAGGGCGAGGAATGTGTGGCAACTTAACTGAACCACTGAAACGCTTGTCCTTTTGAGGATCATAGTTTTTCAACCCAATCTGAAGCTCAATGGTTTCAGTGAACTTCCTTTTCTTCTCACTTGAATCATTCTTAATCACCGTGATGGCTTCTCTTAAGGCATCACTCTGAAGCTTACTGTAGCAGAATCAACATCAAACTAGATTAATGAAGGTAATTAACCCAAATAACAAACTTAATAACGTACTTATCCAATATGTCATGCTAAAGGCACAGAAATAAATATGATCTTAACTCTACAACTCAATCAACTATACCTCAACCCAAACTAGGATTTTGAATTTATGAGTTTTAAATTTTAAGAAAAGAAAGTTAGTGGGTTCTTGATAAATTATTTACACATAATAAGTGATTATATTTAACATATACAAGGTATGCATCAAAACTACCCATAATCGGGATACTAGCTCTGCTCCTGCTTTTCCCCTTCCTGAGACACGGTAAGCGCCACCCTCGAACCTACTACCTATGAGTCAATTGTGTCCCTTTTCCTCTTTGTTCAATTTGTTTCAAGACTCAACAATTCGGCGTCATTGAGGCCAAATTGATTTCAACACTAAGCAATCCATCCTTCAAAAAAAAATTCAGGTTTCTCTAAACTACTGATTCTCTAAATCTCATCCATCTCCCTACACTAAACTAGCACTGACCATACTAACCTTATCAAAATGAATTTAAAATGTTCAAATTCTACACATAACTTGCAATATTTGAAACCTTCCGAAAGCAGTAAATTTTACTCGACTTTCTATATGTTTCAACTTCACAAATCAGTTTCTTCCGCTTGCATTACATTCATTTGCACATTCAAGATAACCCCACATCAACAAATGCCAATTATACATACAAAATAAAAAAAAGTAAAATAACACATCCTACAAAAGGAGAAATTATACAACTCTAGTTTCATTTTTTATTTTATAATCATAATGTCAGGACCCGTTTGCGCCCACCTCGACTAATTCCACACGATACATGTCACCTCCCATCAGCAACCGGTGTGAGTATTAACCTGAGACCTCGTGGTGCTCAACCTATCCATCTCTAGTTTCATTATCAAGTCAATAAATATTCAATCAACAATTATCTTACTAACCCAGATCCCATTTTTGAAAAAAAAAAGAAGACCCATATCCCTAATGAAAGAAAAAAATGAATGAATATGTGCCTATCAAAATACTGTCCAACAACTCCAGCAAAAAGATAAAGAATCAAAACATACTCAAATTGTGCAAAAAACAAGAACTATACAGCGTAAAATAGAAGGAAAAGCAAAAAAGATTGTAGCTTTGTGTATGTACCTCATGGCTCAAAGCAGAATGGGAAGAATTCTGTCTGCAAATTGAGTGAGCGGCGGAGGGGTGGCAAAGAAGTTGAGGGTTAAAGCAAAGTTCTCAATGGGCTTATTGGGTCTTGCTAGAAGATACATGGGCTTTGTTAAGAAAGTATATTTGTACATGTTTTAAATGAGACCTCAATTCATGTTTTAAATTAATTTTAAAAAAATATAACAATATTGAGATTTTTTTTTAATATTTTATACAAAGTTAGACTCATATTTACCTATAGTAACAGGATTTTGTAGTTTACCAAATATAACAAGATTCATGTTACAAGATGTATTCAAATGAGAGTCATAGTGGATATCATGTGATCTTCTTATTAAAAAATATGCGATTATTTTTTTAATTTTCAAATAAAAAAGTTGTGTTTTCATCAATTTTGATACACTATCAAAATCTCTCATAAACACCATCGAAGTTTCACTTGATTTCAACACAGAATCTTTTTTTTTTCTAAAAAAGATAAAAGCAATATTTAAAAATTTAAAGTATTCATCAAACTAAAAGTGAAAAAAAAATTGATACACAATGATCCGTGGAATTTAACATGTTGGCATGTTGATTTCATAATTAAAGAAATCCATGTTGAGAAGAAGAGAGGTAGACCAAGAAAGTATATATTAGATAGGTCTCCTAATGTTCTTACTTTAAAGACAGTTTTATCATCTACATTGTATATCGGTGATTCATGATTGACTATCCAAATTTAGAGAAAAATATAGGAGGTCGGATATACAAAGTTATATACCAGAGATACAATTATGTATGCAATATGTATATAATTGTGTAAATTTAATATAATATTCATGTTAGGTATTTGTATAAATTATTTATTAAAAAAAATTAAAAGTAAATTTATGGATCCAGGGTTCGTTTTATAAATAATAAATGAATAAAAGGCTAATATCCCAAATAACTAGTAAATAATTGTGTGTACTTAAGTAATTTATCTTATATATATACAAAAAAACTCGATCCAAAAGTTATCAAGTCTATAAAAGAAATTCCCTAGTTTGTAGGGTTTTCTATTTCGCCTTTTATCTTCTCTTTGTCTGCTCTTTTCTTTTCGTCGCTATTTTCATTTTCCCTAGATTATTCATAAAGTTCATTTAAGACTTTTGTAAAAAGAAAAATATCTATGGATTATGTATAAATTTTGTTTAAAAATTCATGTTAAACTATATTTGATTTTTATGAATAAAATTCATATATATATAAAGTATAAAAGTTGTTTTCTTTAGACATGTGATTGATTAAAATATACTATTGTTTACATACAAAATGTATACAAATATTTGTGTGTATTTTATATGTGGTGTATTCTTCTACTTCTTCTTTTTCAATTTTCATTTTGAAATTTCAACTAAAATCAAATCTAATTTTGATCAATTGTAAAGTCGTAGTAAAGACTAAATTAGAAAGAATTGAATAAAAATAATTTTTTTTAGGAAGATAAATTCGCGAGGAGAGGAGGGATTGCAATGGAATTTAAGTTTGAGAGAGAAAGATTTTTTAAATTTAAATTTGATTGAAATTTGATGTTCTTTTCTCTTTGATTTAGACCAAATTTAGGATATAAGTTGATCTTTTTTCTAAATTTAAAGCCTAAATAAAGAAGTTACGCAGAGGTGAAAAATTGTTGTCATTGATAAAATGTTGTTATATTCGGTAAATAAAGAAAAATCTTATATGTTTAGTAATATAGTATTTCATTTAGTTATGTGGTATGATTGTTTCAAATAATATAGTTTGGTGACTCTAAAGATAATTATTGCTCTTTTTCTTCTTTACCCAACTAGGTTGAATATTCCTTAGTTCTAGTGTTCCTAATTTTAGTTCATAACTAGAGGACTTGTTGAGAATTTTGGGATATTCTATAAAGAGCGATTTAATAAATTGGTGATCTAAAGTCAAATATATTATAAAATCCTTAAACTTATTTTATAAAATTATTCATATAATAACTAGACACAAAAAAAATCAATATTTTGATCTAGTAATAGAAGCATAGCAAGTGATATGTGAGTTAGGCATATTCGTGACGATTTCAAAGTCGGTTGTAGACAAAAGTATGATATTTAAGTTGAGAAAGCTAGAGAAAAAAAAAATTCTAATCAAATCAAACATGATACAATATAATAACGAAATCAAAGGAACCAAACAAAAATGGAAATTAGAAAGCGAAAACGTTAAACTTTTGAGAGAAAATAAGTATTTGAGGAGTAGCAGAAACTGTTTTCGAAGAAGCTAAAAAATGTAATTTTTTTCCTAATTTTTTATTTATTAAAAACACTTCTGAAAATACATTTAAAAGCACTTTTATCACCAAAAATACTTTTAAAAATAAAACTTCTCAAAATAAACTAATTTCAAAAATTTGGCCAAACATACTATAAAACTATAAATTTCAAAACTCTTTCTTTCATTCTTAAATTTCAAACATCACACAAAATAAGATATATAAGAAGAGCATTATTGTTTAACTTAAGTCCATTCTATTAAAGACTAAATCCAGAAAGTAAAAACATTAGTTAACTTACACACACACTAACATACTTGTATCAAAGGGAAACATAGTTAACAACAACACCATAATCCTTTTAGCAATCCTTAATATAATAAAAACTAGAGATGTTCACCATGAAACACTTGAGATCCTTCCAAGTGTTTTCACTTTATAAGCCATTCATTGAACTTTTGCTGATTCTTTCACCATGAAACACTCTTCCTAAGTTTCTTCAGTTTGTTAGCCATCGTCCATTGAGCTTTTGTTGGTTCTGTTGGTTCTTCCTTTTTCTCCTCCTACATCATAGGCACATAGCTATAAGTGTTTAGCCATGAAATTTTTCCAATTTTTTTCGGAGTTGAACTTCGAAAAACATATTTAGCTATAAAATTCTGGAATTCAACTTCTTGACGTTAAACTCCAGAATTTGAATATCAACAAAAAGTTGTTTTCGCTCCAAATTACTCAGAAAAAGTAAAAAAAACAACTTCAGTTTATACTCATGATCAAAATTTTCAAATATCATTTTTCACTTTTAAAACAAAAACTACTTTTTCAAATTTCATAAAGAAATATGGTCAAACGACCACTAATTTTTATTTTTTGTATTTTATTTTATTTTTCTAAAGTTTGGGGGTAGGGAAAGGGGAAAATAGGGGAGAAGATTATAATGTGTGGAATTGAACCTCACCAGCAAGCTAAAAATTTAGATAACCAATCAACTGAGCTACTAAGATGAAAATAATATAAAACTAATCTTAAGCATATTTCTCTTCCATGAATATATTATACTATAATTTTATATAGGAAATAGTCATATCATTTCTTTTATTGTAGATGCAAATCAAGTCTTGGTCATGTTAAAAAAATAAAAAGAGTGAGTAATAATTACCAGAAGTAACTTGAGCCTCTCATTCTCATCTCTCACTTGATCAAGCTGTGCCTCCAATTCAGCTGTATATGCCTGCATCATAGCAAAGATTACTCTGTTCAAGTAACTATCCTATAATAATCAGAGGCGGACGGACCCACATGGATAGGTGAGGGTGTATGTGTGCCAGTTAAATTCGAAAAAAATTTAGAGAATGTATATGTATGTGTATATACTTTGAGGAATGAATATATATTTAATTGTGCATCCTTATAAACAAAAGTGCACCTTGGGGCGTTTGGTTCAAGTTGTTGCTTCCATAACTGCGACCACAGATTGATCTTGGAATATCACATTTTCATTATTATTTTTTGTTTTTGATTTAAAGGGCTATAATAACAGCAAAAGTGCATGTATATTCATCTCACACTTGACTACGGAACTATCACAATCAACTATTACAACAAAACTATAATCAAATTATTAGAACTCATATTTGACCTATATATTTGTACTTTCGTTACTGCTTCCACCACTATGACCAATCGGACACAATATTATCCCTCAATCATCATTGGAAGTCTTACTAGCCCCTACATTAAGATAATGGTGCCCACACGATCTTCAAATCCCGAACTCATCTCTGCCTAAGTATTAGAAGATCATATTTGACCTATATATTTATATTTTCGCTACTGCTCACACCACTATGACCAATTGGACACGATATTATCCCTCAATCATCATTGAAAATTTTGCTAATCCTTACGTTAAGAAAATAGTGGCCTCGGGATCTTCAAATCCCGAATTCACCTTTGTCCTATAATCAACACAAGATGTATTTCCAAAGTCACCCTTGTGTATTCCTTAGTTATAGTCCCTCACACCATGACTACCTTTGTCTCAACAAATCCTCTGAAAAAATACACATTGCAAGACACATCCATTTTTTATGAAGCTGTGTTTCCTTTCTCATACATTCCTATTCTTGATCCTCCACAACAACAAACTATAAGAGTTGTTACTATCACAACAACATGTATCAGATAACTCTAAAACTCGTAACATTTAATTTGTATAGATGGAAAAAAAAATATACTAACCTGTTTTCGAGCCCTGGATCGTTGAGCAGATGCTCTGTTCCTAATCATTCGACGTTGCCTCTTATCCATCAGTGTTTCTTCTTCAACTGTAGCAGCCCTTCTTCTCCTATTACCTCCTCCTGCTGCTTCACTACCATCACTGTTGGGATTTTCAGCATTTCCTCTAGCAGGAGCAATTTCATCATTTTCATTGAGATCATCAGCAGCTTGTTCAAAGATTTGATCAGCACCATAACTGAAATCAAGTCCTGCTTCCATGAAAAAACAAAAGATGCATTATTGTTTTCTTCAGAAATGCAGGATAAGGTCTGACCATTCCCCAGGAGGCCAGGACTGCCCTTTTTCTTTGGTAAATGGTCCAATTTAAACTATGTGCACAAAATGTAAAACTTGATGTATTAGATTGTCCCATGTCAAAATGATTCATAACCGTAAAGATATGATACCTAAGTCTAACTCATTCCCAGAAGTTAGCTCATGAGGGGAGGACTGTCCAAATTCATATAATGAGATCACCGGTCCATTCCCAACTAATGTAGGACTTTTACCCATTCTAACAACCCTGTTCATACCCAGGCCCAACTAGAGCGTGGATCAGGAGCTCAAACGGGATGTACCAAGCTCTAATACCATGTAAAAATTTGACACGTGAACCTAACTCAACTCCAAAAGCTAGTTCATGAGTGGAGAATTACTCAAGTTCATATAAAGAAGAGGAAAAACTCAACATTCTTTTATTAATTAAGTGTAATTTAGTAAACTATACATTGTGTTTATTATTATCTTAATGAGTATGAAAATAACTAAAATGATAGTTAAAATGGAATGGAGAGAGCATATATGTGAATTCAAACATTAGTTTTTCATTTTAGAAATAATTAAAAATTAAATATATAAGAAGTATAGTATTATAAACATGATGTTACCTTCATCTAGAGTTGAATTGGACCCAACTTCATTTCCTTCAGGTTGATAAAAATGGCTGAACAGCTCATTCAAAGAGGCATTGTCAGGAAGATTATCTGAAGATCCTTCTTGCACTTGTGGTGGTTCGACCTTATAACAACCAACACTTTCGTCCTCAGAAACATCCATACCTTAGTAACAAGTAAAATATTGTTGTGTAAGAGTGAATGTTGGATCGCGAAAGTTCAATACATTCACAAGATGAATGTTTCAGAAATTAAATGTGATGTTGATCGATGTATGTTCATACAAGATTAGAAATGATCATATGTGCGAGAAGGTTCAAATAGCATAAATCGAGGATAAAATGCAAGAAGGTTGTTTGAGATGACATAATTTGGAATGCATATGATGAGTGAATGTAAAGAAGAAGAGGTAGACCTAATATTACATGAAATTATGTTGTCTAGAAGGTCCTACCTACAATTTCTACGAATCCATGCGCAAGCAGACTTAGCAAAATATAGGGCACAATGAAATAAAGTGATCTAGATATGCAATACATACTAGTTGAGAATATGTTTAGTCGATCATTAGAACTTTTATTGTAGATCCTATGTGTTGAGCTGAGCCGAAATTAGTTTTGATGATTGACAAATAATTATAGAAGAACCAGGTCCTTAACATGTCTTAATAAAGAACCTCTAGTGTTTATGAGTAATGCTATTATTTCTCATGCTATTTGGACAAGTACAAACTTATTCTTGGAGAACACACTCTTTGTGAGATTTAAACTACATAATGAGAGAACTTGTTCTAGAGGAAGTTATTTATTGGTTCTTAAGTTGATTAAGTTTGAGTCTTTGTTATTGATGTCTAACTATTTTTATTTCATAGAATCTTTATAATAGAGGATTCTCTCATGGAATTTGACCTGTTTTAAAATTCTCTCATTCCTGCTCTTCAAAAATAGTGGGATCAAATGTGTTTTTCTTTTAGAACTTTTTTTTTTGTTTTTCATCCAGTGTCTTGTCTCCGTATTGGAGCCTAACTAAGCCGGATTCATGCCTCGTAAGTCCCCATTCGGAGGAAGCACTCCCTACCAAAGATTTTTTCATATTCAGGGCTTGAATTCGAGACCTCTAGTTAAGAGGAGTAGTCAAATCCACTACACTACACTCTTTGCTGGTCTTCCATAACCTAATCTATCTTTATAGTTGACTTCTATTTTTTTCTTGAAATGTTTTTCAGTACAGAGGAACCAGGTTCCTTTGTTCTTTGATAAGACCTTTTTCTTTTTCAAGAAGTATGAATTATCTTCTCCTTGTCATCACTCAAATGTACAAATTCCTCATCAAGCTCATCCCTTAGCTCACACTCATCAGTGTTTCTTGCTTTTCCTTTCCTTTTGGTCCTCACAAGAGCAAGGACAAGTACTGTCTTAACCTCATAATCTTATTTCACTTCCCTTTAGCTCCATTCTTGATTATCAAGGCTACCTTATCATTTAAGGTCATCCCTCCATTCTCAGAACTATCAAACATTTTTCTTAAAAGCTTTGCCTAAGTAGTAGCCAAAGTACTAGGTTCCTTAGTGTTGGGTATTAATTGTCCTGTGTTTCTTATCATAATTGAGTTTTTTTTCCTAATAGAAAAACATAAAGTCTCCATATTTAACTAGTCTTTTTCTTGTAGGAAAAGGTTTATGACAACAACTAGAGGTTCATTCTTTATAACTTAGTAGAATTCACAATCTCCTAGGGGCTTTGAGAGTTTTGCGCAGGGGGAGAATTTGTGGGACACAAGTATCTTTGTATTCTGAGTGAATTGAGTGAAGTTATGTTTCTCTATATTTTGTACTCTCATATTTATATAGTGGATTGATCATCTCCTTTGTGGATATAAGTTGGTTGACCGCAGGGGCGGACCCACCCTTGCCCAAGGGGTGTCAAGCCCCTTCATAAAAAAAAAATACATTGTATATATAGAGAGATCAAATTTTGATTTAATAAATATATATACAATTATTGACTTTTGACACAAGTTAAATGTTTAGTCTAGTAGCTAAGGTATTGTGGAAGTTGATTGAAGTTGTGTTCTAGTCCTACTAGCCTCATAGTTATATTTTTTTATTACAACCATTGACACCCCTTAATGACAATCTTGAGGTTGTGTGTTCTAGTCCTACTAGCTTCATAATTATATTTTTTTATTACAACCATTGACACCCCTTAATGACAATCCTGGGTCCACTATTGGTTGACCGGACCACATTAAATTTTTGTGTCTTTTGATATATTTCTTATTTGTCTTCTTATTCATGTTTTTTCGAGGTTTGTTTTGCTAGCTTACGTATGAAACCTAGTTATTTCGATCATAACACCTAGTTCTACTCAATTCAACTATATACTCACCTTTTGTTTTAGTATTTTCACTTAAATAACTAGGTCCTTTTGTGATATCCCCATCTTCTTCAAATGAGGTCCAATCAATTCTTTATTCTTCCTCTAGAGACTTGTTCTTTGCTCATAGATGCAATGATTTCATCAATTTATCTCTTTCAGCTCTTTGCTCTACTTCCTAATCTCTTCCTACTATTTCTCTTTGGTTACACATGTCAATTTCTTCACCATTCATAGGTTGTTTCCCCTAAGTATCATCCTATCCTTAGCTAGTTGAAGAACTTGATTCTAAATAAGGTTCAAAGCTTTTAGAGTTTTCAACCCATCCCAATAAGTTCTCAATCCCCAAAATTTGACTTCAGATTTAGCTCAACAAATAGCTAAAACAAGAAGTTTATATGCAAATTAGGATTCGAGAGTCATGAGTTCCCCAATCATGGCTATAAGTCGGACAAGGTGTTTTATAAATTGAAGCAAGAACCAAAAGCTTAGTATGAGAGGTTGTCAAAAAAATTTCACAAGAGGTAAAATCGACAACACAATATTCCTAACAAGGGAAGGTTAAGTTTATTGAACATTCAAGTATATGTTGATGATATTATCATTGGTTCTACAAATGAAAAATTATGCAATGAATTTGGAAAGTTAATGGAGAATGCATTTTGCAATGAACATGATGGTAGAACTAAATTTCTTTCTAGGTTAAAAGTGAAAAAAAAAATAAAGGATGATACTATATTCATCAACAAAAGTACACCAAAGGAATTACTCAAGAGATTTGAGACGAATTAATACAAAATAATCGATACTCATATGACTACCGTCACTCGATTGGACCAAAATTTGAGCAGGCATCACTTTGAAAATTATTATAGAAAATTAAGGTATACTTCATTAATTTTTCCTATTATCCTTACTATTAACTATTCTCGAAAGTAATAAACATTGATTACAAAACATAGAAAGCTTAAGTGTGTTGAGTACATATAAATAGAGAAACATTCATTAAAGAGATTAATATGATGAATGATTAAAATGCACAAGATAATAATAGTCAAAAGTCCTTTCAATTAGTAATTTTTAAGAAACGTGTAAAAGATAAATTTTATAATTAAAGTGAACCAAAGGAAATTATAGAGATAAATTCATCAATTCAATTCAATACATACGTAATACCACCATACCAACCAATTTTGTGAAAAGGGGTAAAATAGTGTGGGTGATAAATTTGTAATCATAAAATTCAAAATTGGAGAAGTGAAAACAACACAGAGAAGAGGAAAGTATATTGTATATACAAAATTAAAATTCATGGTGAAATTGGGGTATTAAGAGGAATTCATTCGATTCAAACGTCCTTCGCCAAAAAGGTATATTGTATATAGAAGGACAATTTATTTTTGTATATATAATAAATGTTGATTTTTCTTTTTTACTTTAGGTGATAAATTTGATATCACGAAATTCAAAATTGAAGAAGCGAAAAATATCAAAGAGAAGAGGAGAGCGGCCATGCCAAGACAGGGGTAAGGTTGACCTATTGAAATTCACTAGATAATTTCTTTTTACTTATCAAGTAATAGTAAATAAAGTTGATTGATAGTTTTGCCAATAAATTTTTTTAGACACCTAGTGAAATAATTGAGATATTCATAAATTGGTCCAAAACATGAAAACCGCTATAATAATAAAAATATAAAATAAAAATTAAATTGTACATCCACAATTGTTAAGTCATCTTACTAATTTTTATAGCTATAAGAGTCAATCCAATTTTGACTTAAATTATATGTACCCAACACCTTCACTCAATTATTTATCTAGGATTTTTTTTAAATAGCTTGATGTTAAGACGATGAAAAGCCTATCATCTCTCATTCTTGGAGAGAAAGGAAACATCATTAACATAAAAGTGAATTCTTGACAAGTGAAATCATCATTTGATTTAACGTTTAATTTCTTTACAAGACATTCCATAAATTTGAAACGATTAAAAGGAATTTGATCTTTATACAAGAAAAACCCACATAAATCGAAAATAGACTATTAATTGAAACAAAGACAATGACCAATAAGAAAATAAAGGAAAAAAGGACTTGCACATATGGAAAAGATGGAAAGAAGTCACATACCTTCAGATGAAAGATGAACTCCAATAGCTTCCTTTGTTGGAGAGTTTCAGTTTTCTCTTTTTGCACCGGAAGCAAAAGATTTGAAAAGAGTTAAGTATAAAAGAGAAGAAAATGGAAAAGAAGAGTTAATGAGGATTGCTTGTCGACATGTTCATGACACTTGCCAACAATTTTCACTCAAAGTAAGAGCGTTACAAGTCCTACTTTGTACGCTTTTGAAGTTTGTTAGGCTTGGAAAACTCCGCCTCTAATTAGCTCTTAATTAGTTATTTGACTAAATTAATATTTCATATTTCTTAAGTTGATATGCTACTTATTATCCCAAATTATGTAGTGTAACGATTCATTCAGTCGTTATGGGTTGTTAGGGCCATGGTAGCCCATTATACCTCATAGTGAACTGAGTTAATAAGAACTCAATATAGGGAAGCTTTAAAAATGATATCTCTTGATTTATTTTGATGATCTATGTTGTTATATTGTGTTGTATTTTGTAAGGAGGTGACTGTAACACCTCGAAATTTGGTAAGTTAAGTTGGAAAGAAAACTCAGAAATTTAGCTAGTGATGCAGTTCCTACGAGCCTACCTATGTTTTGTAAAAGGTCCTACAGTTTGTAGGAGGCAATCTTAGAATGGGTCCTGAAAAATGGAAATT